CTTCTGAGTCTCTATCTCTGGCAATGGCGTGTGGTTTAGATAATAATTGTTACATACGAACTCGTTAAGGGAAGAAATAGATGAATAATCAAGAAATTGTTTTAAGCACCCATAAAGGTACTTTCATATTAAATAAAAAAGATAGTCGAATGAATAAGAAAACGCTCTACGGCATTCAGTTTGTGTTTATACTAGACAGCCTGATATTAAAAACGGTCAGTGAACAGAGAAAACGTCCGCTTCGAAATTGGTTATAAAAGACAAAATAAATGTAGGAAGGAAAATATAAGTGTGTGACCGGACAGTGCTGAAGGACAGGGTAGACAGAGGTTATAAACCTAAGTAGACGAAATGAGATTTTTTAACCCAGGTGAAACTAATCACGAAGGATGCGATCATAATATATTTTGACCCGAGCGCTTTTGCGAATGGTGTAATGCAATGTTTCTTAACCAAATCACTCCTCTTCTTAATGATCACCCATATCTCGTCGCTGGTACTTTCGATCTTCGCAAAACCCTTGATAATATGTCACATAACCGACTTTTGGTTTAACTAGGGGCGCCAGGAATTCACAGTTCACACTTCAGTACGCCATATCTATCTAATCGGAATGTCCTCATTCTTAAATGAGGCTCATATTTTAAGCGGTGTTCTTGAACGTACCGTACTAGCTCGTCCTTGGTTCTACTTTTCATTAATGATATCTAATCGGTAGTTAAATACTCTCAGCCTATTATTTATGCTGATGCTTTCAAACGCGTATATTCCTTCCATGAACCTACGGTTTAAAGGTGCATGGAACAAATCCATGTTGATTTCCATCATCGTTCCGCGTTGAACTCAGTGCAGCCAATGGAATTATCGCCTTCTTAATGCGGTTAATGTGTTTTGATTCTGAAAGACTCTCTCAATCAATAATTATTCTATTCACACCTATGACTTACTATTCCACAGAGTTTCAGCGAAGAATGCGCATGCATCATAAATGTGACTCGGTTAACCATTCATTTTGTGTTTTTCTTGAAAAAAGTACCATTGGGAATTTCGGGCAGTATTCAAAATCTCTCGATCGCTTGCATCCTTCCCTCTGCATGCGGTTTCACGAGTTATGATATTTCATCAGAAATTTTAACCTTTTAGATTCTGCATCGTGACTTCAACGGAACAAGATGGCCCCCAAACCCGCTTCTCGGGATCACTTGATGCCTCTTTTTTTAACCGACCCCCTTTTTTGCCGCCCATCCGCAGTAAAGTTCCGTTCTGTATATGTAGATTTGAGGGTTACGGGCGTTAGACTTTGTTGGCTCTATTCATGTACAAGCGTGATACAAAAGGTGCAATGATACACAAACAGCATGACATACAGTCATGTGTAAAATTTACAGATATAATTTTACAGCAATCATTTAGATATGCGGTACGTATAAATGGAAATTTGGAAGTAATGGTCATGACCGGCCGGAGGTAGTCCTGCAGAGAAAGTCTTGAATATTCAAAAAATAACCAGTTGTGACTGCCGTTTGAACTCATTAACACTATCCATTTCACTATTTCGCTTGGTTGGGAGTTCCACGGCTGTTAGCTTCTGGCTGTCGTCGCTTTACCCCGAGTGCCAATGTCATCGGATCCTACCACAACCTACCTTCCCCATACGCACTATGCACATTTACTTAGCATTGTGTTGAATTACACAGTACCGGGGATGGAAATATCCGATCCGTCCATATCGCTCTCCAAAATGGTTCCATTTTCTACCATGTTTTTTTTTATTGGAAGTGCATATTTCCTAAAATCTTCCCGCGTTTTTTTACTAAAGTTCTGTTTTTCACTGCTCCTCCCAGAGCTCACCTTTATTTCCTAAAAACGTAAAACCCGGAAACGTTGAATATTATTGTCCAGAGTATCGCATGCAATGAGACTAACCTAATTTATTATTTCTCACAATGGGCTGCTAACACAAGACGTTCGTTTCTTAATTGGTCGTATTTTAGAAAATTAACTCAATGTTTATTTTTTATTGATTGTCCACTCCGGACGCTGAAAAATGAACTATAAGTAAATACACTCCTCCAGAGTACAGCAATATACACCAGCTAGAACCGAAATCTGGATAAGCTGAATAAGGTCTGATTGCTCTACCTTCAGAAGATCTTGGAGATATACGATTGCATGTCCACCAAAATTAAGAATGCTCTTCAGGTAAGCATATAAGCCTACTCAAGTCTTAATTACTGCTTGATTGCGGGTGACTTAAATCTTCCTGAAGTCCGGTGGTTTCCACCTTTCGATCCTTCAAATTTTGAGAACTTACTTGAGGCCTTAGATATCGGCATGTAGGATCAGGTAGTCGATTTTCCCACCCGAGGATCAAACATACTTGAAGAGGGTGTAAACCACTGTCAGTGTCATCTTTAGACGCACTTGGGAGTCCAGATCATCTCACAGTTGTTACTACACTAGAATTGGAGGCGGATGAAGCGTTTCCCAAAAATATAGTTTATCCATGACCTCTGGTCAGCCAATAAGGAGGAATTACTGACACATCTGAATTACCTCGACTGGGCTGAATTTTCCTCTTTTAGAATGTGAATGTTGGTACTGATACACTGTACAAAGTTCAGGATCCACCAATTTATCGTTTTGTTTCCCGCAAGAAAATCAAACATGTCATGGATGAAGGTTTCCTTTCCGACAGTACCCCCCGCCTAGACCGAAGCCTAGCATACAGCGAAATTGAAGGCTAATGCAGCGTTAGAACACATGCGTGATAAACCGGTCAGGAAAATGGATTCGACGGCCGCTACGCGAAGTGCGAATGTCACTAGCAACAGAAAAGTTAGGGTCGGGGTGGTAGGGGTAGGAACGGGTAGATAAGGCGGAGCAAGGGCAAGGGGAGGTTGGGTAATATGGGATAAGGGGTCAGCACAATGTTGTCCATCAGGCAAGCCCGGCTGCTCCTCGACGACAATAGCCCTGACC